ACTGCACTCCAGCCTGGGTGACAGAGTGATACTCCATCTCAAAAAAAAAAAAAAAAGAATAAATAGTCACAGTAGAAGTCTCCCAGGTTTCACTTGACTCTGATGTCCCCTGGGCTGGGAGCCTGAACGCTGACCCTCGTCCTCCTGCCACAGGTTACCTCCAGCTGCTGCCATGCCCAACTCAGTGCTGTGGGCGGTGGACCTCTTCGGGAGAGTGTACACGCTGTCCACAGCCGGCCAGTACTGGGAGCTGTGCAAGGACTCCCAGCTAGAGTTCAAGCGCGTCAGCGCCACCACGCAGTGCTGCTGGGGCATTGCCTGTGACAACCAGGTCTACGTGTATGTGTGTGCCAGCGATGTCCCCATCCGCCGCCGAGAGGAGGCCTATGAGAATCAGGTAGCGATCCTCATGGTTGGAGTTGCCGAGTGGGTCGATTTGCTGGGTTATTGGTTAAAATGATGAACCACAGAAGGGAAATAGGGGCCCCAGATTCCCCACCAGTTCCTGCCTTCATTTCCTTCCTTGTACTTAAAAATCTGAGTTGCTGCCAGGCATGGTGGCTCACGCCAGTAATCCCAGCACTTTGGGAGGCTGTGGCGGGCAGATCGCTTGAGCTCAGGAGTTTGAGACCAGCCTGGGCATCATGGCGAAACACTGTCTCTACAAAAAAAATACAAGAATTAGCAGGGTGTGGTGGTGCGCACCTTTAGTCCCAGCTACTCAGGAGGCTGAGGCAGGAGGATCACTTGAGCCAGGGAGGTCAAGGCTGCAGTGAGCCATAATCGTGCCCTGCACTCCAGCCTGGGCAACAGAGCAAGACCCTGTCCCCCTGCACCCCCCCAAAAAAATTCCAAGTTGCATAGTATGCAGGGTCTTTGAGGCCGAAGCCACTATTGTGTCCTCACCAAAGCAGGCCGGCCAGGTCCCCAAGAGGGCAGGCTCCAGTGGTTCCGGGAGCCCAGGACAAGGTGTGCCCTCCACCGCCTGTCCTGCTTAGAGCGCCATGGCTGGCAGGAGGATTCTTTGCCCCTTGGGGCCGCGCTGATGTACTTGCTGGCTCGTGATAAAGTGGCGTGGGGGTCCTCAGTCGCTGGAGAACAGGCCCTCTGCCCACTTCCTATTCTGGAGATCAATGAGGGGGCCAGCTGGGCAGGGTCAGCTGGCCCTGGAGATGCCCGGCCCACCTGGGTTCCCACCCAGCAGGCTTGGGTCCAAGGCCACCTCTGTGTCCCCGGCCCTCAGCGCTGGAATCCCGTGGGTGGCTTCTGTGAAAAACTCCTACTGAGTGACCGCTGGGCGTGGAGTGACGTGAGTGGGCTCCAGCACCGGCCGCTGGATGGGGTGGCGCTGCCCTCGCCGCACTGGGAGTGGGAGTCTGACTGGTACGTGGATGAAAATTTTGGAGGCGAACCCACCGAGAAAGGGGTAGGTGAACTCGGGACCCTCCATGACTGCCCTGTGGGGAGGGGGTGCCTAGGGCTCCGCCTGTCCCTGCTTCTGTCCCCTACACCCTGTGGTGCCTGAGCTCGGGCTTCAGGCCACACCCTCCCTCCCAACCTTCCCCAGCTCTTCATATACCTTCCCTGCAGACCCTGAGAGCCCTTTCCTTGGTGTTTCAGGGGTGGACCTACGCCATCGACTTTCCCGCCACCTACACGAGAGACAAGAAGTGGAATTCTTGTGTGCGGCGCCGAAAATGGATCCGGTACAGGAGATACAAGTCCCGGGACATCTGGGCCAAGGTCTCTGTTCCTGAATGTGACTTGGGGGCAGGACAGGGCCAGGACAGACTGTGACATGCAGCCTCCTCTCCACCTTCCCCACCCGTGTGCACCGGGGGACGCCACGCCCACCTTCGGACCTGGCCTTTGAGCCGTTTCCTGTCCCGGGAACACCACAGCACTGCATGTCCCTTTGCTTGGGAGATGGTCATACAAGGAGCCAGGCCGGGCCCAGGACAGCACAGAACTTGCCCTGACCCTGGTCTCCAAGCTGCTGTGTCCCCGACCGAGCCTCCCTCTGGCACTTTGTCCTCCCCCTCAGCCAAGGGAGGCACTTCTGACTCTAGCGTTGCTCCATGAAGAATCTCCCAGCTTAGGGAGGACAGCCCTGGACCCGGGTCTTGGCGTGGCCTCCAATGAGTGGAGGCCTCCCTGGGATGTCCAGGGCTGTGAGGTGGGGCTGCCCCTGGGCCTGGGAGAAGCCAGGAGACCAGGGAGCTGGCCCTATTTTTTTTTTTCTTTTTAAAGATAGGGTCTCGCTCTGTTGCCCAGACCGTGCTCTGTTGCATCCTGTTGAGTGCAGTGGTGCGGTCATAGCTCACTGTAGCCTTGAACTCCTGAGCTCAAGTAATCCTCCCACCTCAGCCTCCCTAGTAGCTGGGACTACAGGCATGCACCACCATGCCCTGTTAATTTTTAAATTTTTTGTAGAGGCTGGGTGTGGTGGCTCATGCCTGTAATCCCAGCACTTGGGAGTTTGAGACCAGCCTGGCCAACATGGTGAAGCCCTGTCTCTACTAAAAATGCAAAAATTAGCCGGGTGTGGGGGCACGTGCTTGTAATCCCAACTACTCAGGATGACTAAAAATACAAAAATTAGCTGAGTGTGGTGGCAGGCACCTATAATCCCAGCTACTCGGGAGGCTGAGGCAGGAGAATCACTTGAATCCAGGAGGCAGAGGTTGCAGTGAGCCGAGATTGCGCCACTTCACTGCAGCCTGGGCAATAGAGTGAAACCCAGTCTCAAAAAAAAAATAATAAATTTTTTTTAAAGATGGGGTCTCACTATGTTGCCCAGGCTGGCCTTGAACTCCTGACCTCAAGCAATCCTCCTGCCATGGCCTCCCAAAGCACTAGGAGGGCCAATGACTTTTGAAGACTTACACTGGCAGGGCCATCTTCTGTCATCAGCCCCGTTCTTAGGGCTGGCAACCGAGTCACCGAGATCAGGTCACTGGAAAGCCCAGAGCCGAGACCCTGCAGCGCATCCGCCTTCCACACGGGGGCAGCGGTGACCACTCGGCTGACGGAGGACGGGGCAGGGGTCCTCACAGTCCTGATGCTGCCTTCCCTGTAAATTCAGGCAGCTGCAGGCTGGGCTGGAGAATGGACATCTGGATGGCAGGCAGGTGGGAGGTGGGTGCACGCCCAGGCGCTGACTGCTTCTGCTTCTCACCTCCCTGCTTCAGATCCCCTCGAAGGACGACCCCAAGGAGCTGCCCGACCCCTTCAATGACCTCTCTGTAGGGGGCTGGGAGATCACGGAGGAGCCTGTGGGCCGCCTGTCAGTGTGGGCTGTGTCTCTGCAGGGCAAGGTAAGGCCAACCCCTCTCGCTGCCCCAGCTCCCCACGACCCCACCTCTGTGGGTCCTGTCCTGTGCACTCCCTGGGTCTTGCTCCTCCCAGGAGCCCCGGCCCCCCGACCCCATGCCTGCTCCTGGCCTTTCTCTCCGAGACCCCAGCGTGCTGATCAGTGCCCAGCCTCAGCTCAGACACACCAAAGCGGCCTCCTCAAGACAGATTCTGAGCCCCCTGCCAGCTCCCTGCTGGTGTCTCCCAGTCTTCAGGAATAGTGTGGGGGTGGAAGTTGGGGTGACAGAAGGTGTGCCAGTGGACAGATGGGTGGTATGTGGACAGATGGTTGGATGGGTGGGTGTGTGGATGGATGGATAGGTGGGTGGGTGTGTGGATGGGTGGGTGTGTGTGTGGATGGATGGATGGGTGGGTGGGTGTGTGGATGGGTGGGTGGGTTTGTGTGTGGATGGATGGATGGGTGGGTGTGTGGATGGACAGACGGGTGGTTGGGTGTGTGCATGGATGGATGGGTGGGTGTGTGCATGGATGGATGGGTAGGTGTGTGGATGGATGGGTGGGTGGGTTTGCGGGTGAGTGGGTGGATGTGTGGATGGGTGGGTGGGTGTGCGTGTGTATGGGTGAATTGGTGGGTGGGTTTGTGGGTGGGTGGATGGATGGATGTGTGTGTGGATGAGTGGGTGGGTGTGTG